GCGCCGGCGGGGGGGGGGCGGGGGGGGGGGCCGGGGGGAGCCTCAGCTCCAGCCCTGTGCGGGCAGAGCCGGGCAGGCCCTGGGACAGGGACCCCAGCTGCCAGTGGACCCTCGGGACACTCCCAGTTGTTTCCCGGCCGACTCCCAGGGAGTGAGGGCAATGGTGCGGAAGGGTGGGGAGGGGAAGAGCCCAGGCACGAGGGGCACTTTCTCTATGGCCTGGGTGCCCCGACGGGGCAGGTCAGCAGTCTGGTATCTGAGAGGAGGGTGGAAGAGGTCAGTGCCTGCCAGGGGGCTCCTGCACTGGGGCCCTGGCACATCCCAGCCCCCGACCTCCCTGTCCTACCTGCGTGGCGATGCTGGCAGTCCTGCCCACATAGACCCTCACAGTGCCTGGGGAAGGGTGCAGGGGTGGGGTGGGCAGCTGCTTAGACGCCCCTCCCTCCTGCTTGCTGGCTGGACCCAGGATGCCCTGGGGGACAGCCGGCGGTTGTGGTGAAGGACCCCAGTCTGGACTCCCAGCTGAGCCCGCCTCTGCCCCGCAGTGACCTGGCCCTGCGGAACTGCCTGCTCACGGCCGACCTGGGCGTGAAGGTCGGGGACTACGGTCTGGCGCACTGCAGATACAGGGTAGGTCGGCCACGGCGGCGTGCCGGGGCTGGGGGCTGACCGGTGGCCAGCGGGCTGACTCTGTCCCCACACGGCAGGAGGACTACTTCGTGACCACAGACCGGCTGTGGGTGCCACTGCGCTGGATCGCACCCGAGCTGGTGGACGAGGTGCACGGCAACCTGCTGGAGGCGGACCAAACCAAGGCCGGCAACGTGTGGTGAGGCGGCCGCACCCCGGCTGCGGCCCAGGCACCGGGTCCATCCAGCCACGTCCTCCTGCCAGCGGCATGGGGGCTGGCCACTCTGAGAAGGGCTCTGGGCGCTCTGGAGGGTGGGACTGCTGGGGTGCTTGAGCCTACAGGTGGCAGGGACAGTAGAGCCGGCGTGGACTCTGCAGAGCTGGAGGTGCCCTCCGAGCAGAAGGTGCCCAGGTTTCTCACGGCCTGCTGGGCTCCGGGCCCCAATGCCGTGATCCGAGTACCCGCCTAGGTTCAGAACCACCACCAACAACCACAGGGTGCTCTGTCCCAAGGGCGGTGGGGCCTTGACGGGCTCCTGCTCCCGTGGAAGGGCCTGGGAAGCATGTTGCCACCTCTGGGGGGGAGGGGGGGAGGGCCACGCTGGCAGTCTGCGAACCCCCACTGTGAGCCCCTACTCTGAGCCAGGCCAGGCCGAGTCGCCCAGGGCATGGGCAAGGGCAGGCAGCCTCAGGCCATGAGGGGTGTCTCCTGCCCGTGGGAGCCCCTTCCTGGCTATCCCAGGCCTCAGTCTGGAGAGCCCGCGAGCGGGGCCCCACGGTCCAGCCCCACCCCTCCCTGCATCTACCTCTGCAGAAGCCCCTGCCCCCATACACTGACCGGGGGCTACTGTGACCCTGTGCCAGAACAACCCGGCCCTTCATCCCCAGCCCCCCAGGACAGCTAGGGTGAAGGCCAGCCCACTGGAAGGCCCTGGTTCCTGCTCCCAGGAGTGCTCAGGGCACCCCTGCCTGTTCCCCGGTCCCACCTGTGATGGGCTGGGGGCTTCCCAGACCCCTCCACCCTCCCACTGTCGTGGGCCTGGCCCTGCCCTGGGCTCTGCGCCCCCCTTCACTTCGCCAGCCAGCCCGCCGTGCCTGGTCTTCGGTGCTGAGGGCATGAATGAAGGGACGGGCGACTGCCAGGCCAACGGGCTTTTATTTACGGGGCTTCTTGGGGCTGGGCTTGGGCCCGTGTCATACCCTCGGAGGGACAGCGGGTGCGGGGGTGGGTCCTGGCCCGAGGTGCTGGCATGATGGCCATGCCCTGGCAGCCACGCCCAGTCCAGTCTCATGGCCGCTGCCCGCAGGTCTCTGGGTGTGACCCTCTGGGAGCTCTTTGAGCTGGGCCTGCAGCCGTACCCCCAGCACTCGGACCGGCAGGTGTTGGCTTACAAACTGCACCTTAAGCGTGCCAAAGCCCCAGCTGCAGCTGCCCCTGTCTGACCGCTGGTGAGGACCCTGGAGCCTCCCGCCTGCCCCCCACAGGAAGGCTGGGGGGCGGGGGCGCCCGTGAGAACACAGCCTGAACCTGACTGGGGTCCCAGCGCCAACTCCCACCTCCTACCACCCCGCCTTCACTCCCTCCCTGGCCTGTGAGCTGTGGCACGGTGGGGTCTCAGCACCTGGGCCTCTGCCCCCTTCTGGGGTTCTGCCTGGCCAGTCAGCAGGGAGGGAGAGCCTAGGGGAAGGTGCCGGCCCAAGCCTGCCCCTGGCTTGGGTCCATCCTGGGAGCCGCTGGGTCAGGCCATCTAATCCTAGTGCCCTTGCAGTAAGGCCTTCCTGGGGTTGGCACACCACGGAGCCTCCTCCTGGCAGGTACGAGGTGATGCAGCTCTGTTGGCTGCAGCCGGACCAGCGGCCCACGGCCGAGGAGGTGCACCTGCTTCTGTCCTACCTGTGCGCCAAGGGAGCCACTGAGGCGGAGGAGGAGTTCGAGCTTCGCTGGCGCTCCCTGCGGCCCCGAGGCGGCGTTGGGTCCAGCATAGCGGGTTGCAGTGCGGCAGAGCTGGCAGCCGCCTCGTCCTTCCCGCTTCTGGAGCAGTTCTCGGGCGACGGCTTCCACGGCGAGTCGTTGATGTGCGGGCGGTGCCGGGGGGGAGCCACGGCCTCAACTTTGAGTACAAGTGGGAGGCGGGTCCCGGCGAGGCCTTCCCGCAGCCCGGGGACTTGCCCAGCGCAGGCCCAGCCGCGCGCCTGCAGGAGCTGAGCGCCCTGGACAGCGCGCCGCGCGGAGTGGGCGTGGGCGTGGGCGTGGGCGTGGGCGTGGTGCCGGTGCTCAGCGCGCGCAGCCCCTCCCTGGGCAGCGAGTACTTCATCCGCCTGGAGGAGGCCGCGCCCGCCGGCCACGCCCCCGACTGCGCCGGCTGTGCCGCCAG